GACGGACTAAGTTCCCCTCCACTCACAAATGTGTTTCAGTAATGGTAACTTCATTTGGATGTTTTATCTTCAATATTTAGAGTGATGAATGTGCAGTTTGATACAAGAAGGCTGTTTGCATCTGTTGAAGGGGGAAAGTTTCTCTGTGCCCACCTTAAATCTGAGTTTAAAACGTAAACGTACAAGCAAGAGTTTGTGACAGAAAAGCCAATCAATGTTCAATATGCAACTTACAGAAGTGGGATGTGGAAACTTGACATATTGGGTGCACATATGCTGAGAATGGACTTTTCAGTGTCCGGTAGCAAAACGTTGGAAATGAACAAGTAATTTTATGTCTTAAAACATGTGTGGAGGGCATCTTTAACATAGATATCCTGCCTTTTACCTCTTACACAGCATTCACATTACCTTCAACAGCGCTCGTAATTAAGGATGTCCCGTTGTCCCAGGGACAATAAAAATAGCATCTGGGACACAAAGATACAGTGTCTGGGACAATCCTGGGGCAGTAGAGGAATTTATCATTCCAAATGAAATTGTTATGTTCATGTGTAATGGAATATAAATAATTTGAATTGTCAGGTGTTCACCAGTGTTGCCAACTTGGCAACTTTCTCGGTAGATTTAATGACTTTATTTTTGAAAAGCAACTAACATGCTGCTCAGAGTAATCGCAGTCTCTCCTCCTCCTCTTGCACCAGCAGTCAGTAGGTGTGGCGTGTCTCTCTCACTCTTTCTCTCTGGAATATGGAGTTCCTTTAGTTTAACCTATAAGTAAATAATTTGTTTGAACTTTTTTATTTTCTTTCTCCCATTATAGATTTTTAAAAAAGCTTTTTTACTTTAAATATACAATGTACATACACATACATAAGATTGTGATCATTTGGCCAAATAATAATAATAATAATATATAATAATAATACTTTGAACATATTATTATAATAATAATGTTCAAAGTGTGTGTAAGTGTAAACAAGAAACAGTAACTCAACCAAACACCTACGGGGGACTTTAATTTGTTATTCAGGCATTTCTTTTCACACTTCTGCTTTTTCAGCAACACTTTGCAATTTATTTCAGGGTTCAGCCTTCACACCCACCTGCAGGAAATGCATTTTATAGTTTGCATTCTGCTTTCTTCAGAAACAGTTCTGGTTATTTTTCATGAAGAGAGCACAATAGTGAAAGTATAAGGAGAAAGAAATAATAATAATAATACAAAATAGTACACATTCAAATGATGCCTTAAGAAAACATGATTCTGTGTCATTAGGGCAAGACATTGAGGGTTACCAGCCACTGTGGTTTGAGAAAAGGACTGATGATTCAACAAGAGAAAGCACCTACGTCTACAGGGGAGGCTACTGGGAGGCCAAAGAAAGACAAGACTGGAGCCAATGCCCTGAGATCTTCTAGGACAATCATACACCGTGGCATCAAACAGGCTGAGTGGCTCCTCCTGATGTAAGGATACTCTGTGAGTTATGGACAGCTGTTTGTATGTGGATGTGTGTGTGTCAGGGGGGCGTGAACCAGCTGTTGAAAGAAGCCGTCAATCCCAGAATTTCAAGCACAAAACAAGCTCCTGCTTCCACTTACTAACCTACTCTCTTCTGCTCTATTATAACTTGTGTTTTCAGAATGCATGGCCTCAGTTTCTGTGTGTTGTGTGTGTACGCTTACTTAGCACTGCAGAGAACAAATTTATGAGAGTACATGGAGTTCTCCTGTGTGTGTCAAAGTGTGCACGGGGCTGAAATGTTGACATATGCTTTACAGAGAAATTATTTCTACGCCAAAACACTCTGGTTACAGTGGGTGTGTTACAGGATAACTTGGGGGCAAGGAGTTGTAAAAGAACTGAATGTCTTGTTCTCCCCAAAGCTGGAGCATCAAGTTCCTCATGCTGGGCTCTGATAGGGAGGACTGCAGCAGGACAAAGCATTCTTCTGCACTGAAAGGCTTTTTCACAGCAGAACTTCATTAATGGATCCCCCCTGATTCCTGGGGATTTTTACTATTACATTTCTTGAAATTAATGTGTATCTTCAAGGATTTACAGGACAGTGGAGTTTCAAAAGTTTACCAAGCTAGGGGGGTCTAACTAAGGACACTGTTGAGTTGTATTATATGAATTGTAGGATGCAGTATTTTTGGAGCTTGACCTATAATAATAACTAAAAGTCAGGATATCTCAACCTCTGTTGTATTTATTTTGACCACTCACCTTTAAACTAGTTTCTCATATCCCCTTATGGAAGTGAAATATAAGAGTAGAAGGCTGGAGTACCACTTCAGATATCTGAGATCTTCTGACGTACAAATCTGCTAAGCCTGGGGGATTTTCTTCAACAAGGAATTATATTGGTGCTCAATAGTAGCTTTAGCCTTAATTATGTAATGAAGTAGTAAGTCCCCACTAACCACTGCATCCAAACTCTGAGGTTCTGTACAGATTATATAAATCTGACAGGCTATGTTTTTTTCTTTTGAGGGGACTTACATTTGTACTTCATTTTTAATTTATTTTGTGTGAAATTGACTTAAAATATCAGGGGTTTATCATCTTTGTAAGTAGCAACCAACCTTTTTCCCCTAGTTAAACAGTAGAAATGGCTAGCTCTATGAGTGGTTTCTATCTAAGACATTGCATTATTTGGACACGTCAGCAATAACACAACAGCACAGTCGCTTGAGAAGAAAATACTCCCAAGTCAGAAAGGTGTTTTATGCAGCAGAAAAAATGTGTTTTAGTAACAGTATTCCTTCAGCTGAATGACGGTAATGTAAAGAAATCTGATTTATACACATCAGTCAAGGACCAGAAAACAATTACAGAAAGGCTTAGCAATACATATGCTAGGACTTTTGTGTGCAAGCAAGCACCGGTGTACATTAGTAGTAAATATATATTCTATAACCAATAATAACCTATTGATTTATAGTTTTCAGCTTACTGTGTATAATAACTGCGTATGACTGCCTGGTTGTTTTTGGCCTGTATATAGCAAGAATATAATAGACATTTATAGTAAGAAAAAATTGTTTCACGTTACTTGAACATTCACATTTTGGTCAATACTTAAACTCTATTGTGTATACATAATCTTAAATGGAGATTGTATACCAGTTAATGAGATGTTGGAGAAATTAAATTATGAATATAAGATATAGTATTATAGTATTGATGATGCAAATAAGGTGTTGTTCAAATGAAGCACAATGTTATGTTTACCTGCAGGTATTGATGCTTGCTACATAAACTCAAAGGTTTCCATGGCAACATATACTGTAGCTATGCATGGTTTTAGAGTGCTTAAGCACTTCTGTAGTGAAAAGCCTCTTCACCTAGTTAATTGTTTGTGGACTCTTATTGAAACATTATGTGAACTCACCTTTTGTGCCCAATTACCTCAAAAATTTTACATTTTTGAGCTCAAATAAAAACATAAAGCTGTCACCATGGTGTTGTTTACTTTCTAACCAATGTTCATTTAAATCTTTTGTCTCACAAGGGACAGATGATACAGAAGACGTCCAGAGAAACAGTGTCTGTCATGATGCCTGGAGGCAAACAATACATTTATCTTGGGACAGTGTCTCTGGTCTGGGCTGAGGTTAAATGCCAGCTGCTGTCACAAGTGCCAAATAACAAACTACCAGAAACATCTCATCAGAGACAATAAATAAAAGACTTGCTTACTCAGTTTTAAAATATGTTAAAGGAAATTTGGATTTTGGACTATCCATCAACTTTAATTCAAGATTGTACTTCATTATGTCACAGCCATAATAGCAACAATAATAACATTATATTTGTGGTCCTAATAGCTCATCTGGTAGAGCTGGTGCCCAATGTACCAAGGCTGAGTCCTTGCTGCCTGCGGCCCTTTGCTGCCTGTCATCCCCCCCTTCCCTGTCACTCTTCAGCTGTCACTGTCGATTAAAGGCAATAAAAGCCCTAAAAATACTTTTTTTAAAAAAACTACACAAAGTAAAAAAAAAAACAAACAAACACACACACACACAAAAACAAATCAAAAGAAATAACAGAAAGCATGGGAAGCAAACTTGTAGGGCATACTGCTGTATGGCTGCACAGGGTTTTGAAAGGTCAGAGATGTAGCCAGTTAAATAAATTGTTAAATGGTCAACCTGCAGGGATGAGGATCATGTATATGAATTGAGAACAATGTTTTTCTGTCAACTTTTGTTTTATTTGGGACTAAATCGACCTGCATCCATTTCAATAGGGCTTTACATTGTTATGTCAACTTCTCCAGTGTGAAATATAGTGAGACAAGAAAATATATAGTTTTTACATTAACTTACATAACGTTACATTATGTGTACAGTTCCTGTGAAAAATAGTTCTTTCATTATCCTCAGTGGTGAATTTTAGCAAAGAAAATGATTTCCACATTTATACTTCCACCTGAACTCTACTGTATGTTATTTGACTTATTTGAATAAAGTTGACTCTATACCTTGAAATAGCATGATTGACAAACCCCATCTCTTCATGTAGAAACATTATATTATTATTATATATTGCACTGATGTATCTGATCAGCTAAATTTATGCTAAGCTATATGCATTACATTTTATAGGTAATCATTTGCATTTTTCAAAATAAAACCCTGCGGTTGCTATGTTTCCTTACTCATCCTGAACACCTCATATGAAGAAATAAAAGGCAGTTCATCATCGTCGTCACTGGATGGCTCATGAGCATGTGAGGCTCCAACGCTTCAACCAGCCCGCACAGCAGAGCGGTGGCGGTCAGCTTGCAGCACGCAGAGTGAGTGAGCCGCCTTTAAATGAGTGCCATTGCCCTTTAAATAAACCATCCAATAACACTGAAGTGCATCCGCCGCCTCGGCTTGGATGACAGCACGGTGACCGATTGACGGAGATTTAGGGGATGCTGCCACTGCCGTCAAGGTACCCGTCGGATAGCAAGGTAAAAAACAAACAACAACAACATTTAATAAACGACGACAAGAGAATGTCAGTTGAGGTGTCGCCAACGGTCGCTGTTCGAATGGATGCGAACACCGCGTCAAGCCTAACGGTTAACGGCTGTTGTTTTTGTACGTTGGTGAGCTAACAAACCGCGGGTTGCTAGCGGACCCGTTAGCATGACAGCACAATCCGAGAGACGTTCAGCTGTCTGGTGTCGAGTGACAGCTCAGTGCAGTAGCAGAGGTCAGCTAACTTAACCCACCTTTACCGTTTCATTTTGTCACACAAATGGGCTGTTGTGCTCTTGTTAAGACATAAAGTGACGGTAATAATTCAAACATGAACGGAATAAAACGGTAACCGCTGTCTGACCAGCTAACGGCTAACCAACTAATGGTGTGTAACCGTGTGAGTCGCCAGGGTTTCCCTCTGCTCCAATGCTCGGACAGGGGCATCACAAGATCTCCTCAGGCAATGAAGTAAGCTGCTATTTAAAGCCAGCGTGGAAAAAAATAAAAACATAACTCATGTGAGAAGCTGCTGCGCTGTCTGATATTTAATAAGATTTAGATACAGGCACACGGTGCTTAAATTGCCCCATGATGTTTACTACACTGCTGGGTTGTTGGTGCATCACGCTGAGTCGTCACCGTCAGTCCATTGCTGCATGTCAGGATAATAACCAATCCCATCAGTCCCCGTCGTGGAGAAGGCGCGTACTGTTTTCCAGCCCGCCCTGAACAGCTCTCCTCATTCCTCCCCGTCTCGCCTGCCTTCCTGCTCCAGCATATGTCTTTTTTTTTTTTTTTTTTTTTGCCTGCACAGGGGTAAGTTACACAACTAGCCCGTCATGCAAAATAGAAACACGTGTCTGTAGGCGGTGCAGAGAAGGGCAGGTTTACAGAACAACAAAGACCGCAGAGGAGAAAGACAGCTGTGTCGCAGGTTGATTTTTGGTTTTTATTCGCGATTTATGTAGCCCGAAACTTGCCGGTGTGATCTCGCATTGCACATTTTGAAATGAGGGATACGGGCTCAACATGTGTTTTTCTTCTAGAGAGGACAATGATACGAACATGATCAACGCCGATGGCTTCTCAAAATGCGAGGCGACTCTGCAAGACAGAGGCAGGAGGAGGCCACCCGCAGAGATGCTCCATCTGCTGTCAGCTGTTATTGTTTGGCTGGTGACGGGAACCACCATCTCCAGCCTCAACAAATGGATATTCGCAGTTTACAACTTCAGGTACCCTCTGCTGCTGTCAGCTCTGCACATGCTGACGGCCATAGTGGTGGACTATGGGCTGATCAAACTGCGGGTGATCCGCCACAGAGGGGCTGGAGAGCAGGACTTGACCCCCAGCGCAAAATGTAAGGTGTTCCTGTTGAGTCTGACATTTTGTGCCAGCATCGCCTTTGGGAACATGGGTCTGAACTATGTCCAGCTGTCGTTTGCACAAATGATCTACACCACCACTCCGCTCTTTACTCTGGCCATCTCCACGCTGATCCTGGGCAAGCAGCATCACATCCTCAAATACACAGCCATGATGCCCATCTGCCTGGGAGCCTCCTTCAGCATCATGGGAGAGGTCCAGTACGATCAGACCGGCTGCTTCTTCGTGTTCGCAGCAACCATGTTGAGGGGTGTCAAGTCCATTCAGCAGAGTAAGTACCACTTTTACTATGTCCCGTCAGTGTTTCCCATCATGCTCGTCACCTCAGACTGTTGATGTTTTGTTGTGTGTCTGTTGTCACTGGTAACTGGAGAATTCATATCATGCCACTGACATAAGAAGTTATTTCAGTGTCTCCCCCCCCCCCCAGACACCACTGCAGTCTGTGGTCGTGGAACTTTTAAGTGATTCATTCTTTAGTCCAGTAACACACCCACACAGACACACATTAAGGTGGAATGTCACAGTGGCACATTTTCTGGTTTCTTTGGAAACATACAAACATCAATGCGTGTCTATGAGTAAGAAGGGGCAGGGTCTCTGCACATCCCGGGGACATGATGATGAGAAAGGCCGAATGTTTTTGGAAGTGTCTGTTAAGTTTCAGAGTTTTTTTTTTTTAAAGTTTCTCTCATTTGCTACCATTGTTTCTAATTGTTTGTAATGGACCAGAGCGACATACACTTCCTTTTATTGCAGCATATTTTAGAATTAGAAAAGTAAACGTGACGTGTAACAGACAGTTCCAGACTAAGTTTCAGTAATTTAATTGTTGTTTTTTGTTGTTTTTTTGTATATATACCGTACATAAATATACACCCAGGACTCCCTGGAGTGTCGCTGTTACTATATAATGCTGTTGAGTGGATTATCCTGTTGAAATAAAGAGACTTTCAGTACAAAAACACCCATTCTGAGATTGCATGTATGGTTACACTTTAGTCCAAGGAAAGAGACAGATTCCTTTCTTGAATTAATGTCACAAGGGCTGAGTAGTGCCTTCACTACATTTATCCAGTGTGCTGGTTTATCTAATGTCCTGTGCTCTCAGGAAAGCAATTTGTGGAATTCCTTTAAAGTTGCTTACTGTGTGCATTGGATTAGGCTCTTTAACGTCATCGGTCTCCACAGCATTATAGGAGGTAATGGAGTTTCTAAAACTAATATAGAGGCCTTGTATTAGTTGTTGTGTAACGCTAGAGCAGATATTCAGTTTGGTCAGAAGGACTTAATGCGGCATACTTTGTACCTGGAGGAGAGGAGGGGCAGTTACAGAGGCAGGCTTTGTGACAAGAGGGTCATCACTTTGCATCCCCAAATGCTCCAGTATAGCTGCTCAGTGACAATCAGACTGAAGATGTGTTTGTGTTCTGTTAAATAAGGATAAACACATATACAGGAAGGAAAATATAAGTCTGCGCTTGAAGCGGAGTTTGTAAACAATGTCCTTTGATCGAAGCTGCCGTACATTACTTTTATTTTTAATCATGACTAAAACTTTGTGTCCATCCCAAGGTGCCAGACTAACTGGACGATGCTGTCTCAAGTTTCAACAAGCTATTTTCGTCCTCTCTCACTTGTTGTTGTTGTTGTTGTAACAGTTTCCCTTATTAGTTCACTCCTCTCTGACACTGCATCACAAGTTGTTTCTGATCGGTATACGGCGATGGAAATTCACACACTTTATTATTATTATTTAGCCAAATGATGACAAACACACAACAGGGACATTGTATATTTGAAGGAAACAAAGTCAAAGTTACAGAGGGAGGGTGAAGATCAAACAAACAATTTAAATATTTACAAGCTGAAATGAACTACCGATATTTAACTATTTACACAAAGGCTAAAGGAACATGGGAGAGAAAACGTCAAATATGCCCCAAATATTGGGAATGAATTACAATATTATATATATTGTGTATGTGTATGTATACGTTTTCCCTGACAGTCTGACTAAAGTCGTGAAATTTGCCATGCCGCTTTTTAGACATAAGTGCCATTTTTAAGTACCAATTTTTAAAATTTGAACGCCTTACAATTAAAACGACTCATATTCCATTACACTTAAACATAGTAATTACATTTCTAATGATACATTTCTCTACTGTCACAGAATTGTCCCAGAGACTGTATCTTTGTGTCTTGTGCTATTTTTATTGTCCCTGGGACAACGGGATCAGTGCTTCTGAGCTTGTTCTTTTGAGTGATGATCAGTGAACAGACTGTACTTGTTTTGTTTGAATATGAAAAACACAGTTTCTGTTATGTCACCTGAACAGCCCACTAAAACACTGCAGGTTTCTCTAAATATTTGAGGCCTTGCAGTTGTTCCATAGTGGCTGAAGTAGAAGAAATTGTAGTTATTGACGTCTCTCTGGTCTTCTGCATTCATTTTTCAGGCGTTTTTCTTCAGGTAGAAAAAAAAAAGACGTGTCTGCAAGCTATTTTCATCCTCTCTTTCACTTCTTGTTCTCACAGTTTCCCTCTTTACTTCTCTCTGACACACTTATTTTGTCTTTCTGTTTAAAGCTCTCCAGTCAAAGCTTTGATTTACACACAACACATCGGAACACGTCCGTAAACATGATGTCACATTGTAACCACTGCACACGTTTCTGTTTACCCAGGCATCTTACTTCAGGAGGAGAAGATCAACTCTGTGTTCCTGCTCTACCTGATGTCCATTCCTAGCTTCTGCATCTTGGCCGTGGCAGCTCTGGCCTTAGAAAACTGGGCTATGCTGGAGTCGCCGCTGCATTATGACCGCCACCTGTGGGTCTTTATCTTGCTCAGCTGCCTGGGCTCTGTCATGTACAACCTGGCCAGCTGCTGCGTCATCACGCTCACCTCCGCCGTCACTCTGCATATCCTCGGCAACCTAAGCGTGGTGGGGAACTTGCTGTTGTCTCAGCTGCTTTTCGGCAGCGAGTTATCCGCCCTTAGCTGCGCCGGCGCGGCACTGACTTTGTCTGGCATGCTCATATATCAGAACTCAGAGTTTATCGTCAGCTACATGGACGCACGCAAGGCCAAAGCTAAGAAGTCCGGACAGGTGGATTTCCACACTGCAAGTGGAGAGGACATGGACAAAGCCAGCGCGTCTCACCCAACATATCATCAGAGAGCGGAGGGGAAACAGGAAGACAAGATAGACTAAACTGAAAGGATGAAGGAGAGAATAAAACACTGAAGGATAAAATGATTAAGTTTGAATTCTCTTTCCCCTTGTGTCTTTAAGGGGGTCTAGAGTTGCAGAGGGAGTGTGACCTTATAAGGCCATTGTCACTTAATGATGTGACAGATTTATTTTTAAATTAATTTTTCAACTTCCTCACTGTGCCAATTTTATTTCTCCTCTGGTCACACAGAAGTGGAGTCTGCAGAGAGGGAAAGGTTGCCTTTATTTATCACGATGGTGGTTTGAATTCTCTCCTTCATCTGTAAATCACTCATACATAGCCTATAGCAGTATATGCATGCATGAGCACACTAAACTGTTTGATACCTCATCGGGTATTCGCACTGTCACTCATACTACTCCACTGTGAAAATGTTCTCATTTACAGAGGGCTCTAATAAATGTTTTGGGTGACTGTTGTGAATATTGTAGAGCTATTGAAGGGGGGCGGGGCATAGAGAGCAAATCTGAACGGGCACAATTTATATTATAAATATATATTGATAGTACTGTTACCTGACACTCACCTGGCCCTGTCATGGTAAGGGACTGGGTTTTTGGCAGCTTTTTTTTTGTTTGATGTGAATTGGGAAGCTTGTTAATTAAGGACACTAAAACTTTTGTTTAGAGGCAGAAGTTACAGTGATGGACAAAGCCAACATTCTGTGCAATGAGACACCTCTTTTCCTCTGCTGAAGCACATTTTTAACAAGAGGCCTGAGCTTTGTGTTTTGTCCATCCACAATGAACCTCGCCGTGGCTTCCCACCTAAGTCCCAGATTTTGTTCTCGTACCAGCTTGAAAAGACGGTCTCTGTAGAATTAGTCCAATTATTTCCATCTTTTACAACAGGGCACTCACTGCAGCGTTCCTAGATAATTAGGTTCACAAGTTCTCTAAGGAGTGTCACTCAACTTTAGCTGTCTATTCCCTGCGGAGGAGATGTGGAAAAAGAAGATTGAGCTGTCCTTTAAGGTTGCTTCTTAAATCTTTACCAATGTCATCTGTTAGGCTTAATGTTTCCCTTTTTGTGGGTGACATTTTTTTTTAGAAAGTTAGTTACCAGCACAGCTTGAAAAATGGACCTCTGCTGGACAGTGTTGTGTTTTCTCTCAGTATTTGAAAAGCATTTTATTGACATGATTTTATTTTGTGACAAAACATATTCCCCTTTTTAAAATGTATGTGGAAGAAGATATTTATTTTTTGAATGGTCATAGCAATCACTGGCTTTGTAATGCTGTAGATCTTTGTCCTCAAGTGTCTTGCACATGCATACATGTAATATTAGACGGCACTAGTCTCTCCTGCCGTCGCTCTTTAGAGTAAAGTCAGGTGTACTAGGCAGACAACTGCATGCCGCTGCCCCTGAAAACATCTTTGGGGATGTCTGTTACCATACACTCCCTCCTACATGTATGATATGTCAAATGTTTACTTTGAAAGCTTTTTATCATACACACTGTTATAATATTGGTTCTGTCAGTGAGCAGACATGCTCACGTATAGTTTGAGCTGTCACGTGACAACAAACAAAACAAAAAAGCCATAAATCCAAGAGTTTGTTTTTAATGACACCCGCCACATTTCTGTGCATATTTTGCCACAAGAGTAACTGCAGGCGGTATTGTATGTTGAGAGATTTAACTTTTTCAAGGGTGCCATTCATAAAATTACATTGTCACTGAGCATCATATCAAATTAATCAAAGTAATTAATTAAATTAAAGATCATAAATCTGCAGACAGTTCAAAATAAGTTGAAAAAAAGCTATAGTTTTATTTCCCAGTTGGATAAATGGCAATGTTGGTTTAATATTTCCAGATAATAAATGTTGTCAGTCATCCTCAGTTACATAGTTGAAGATTATGTACAGCCGATAATTTCACTGGTTTTACATTATTGAATACCTCAGCTGTTAAATAGGACTCATTATGCCCCTCTTGTGTTAATTGATTAACTATTGGACTGAGATCAAGTAGCTTAACATCCACAATAAAACTGCTGCATGTGAATTAAGGATTCTACTGTGTTCAGTAGAGAATCTAATCACCGATGTCAACATGTTTAAAAACCTACTAATGTTGGTAAGAACTGCCTCTGCTGTCGTCTTTTAGTTTTATAATCTCAGTTTGGCTGCTTGTTCTAATGGATATCATGTTGAGTGGATTATGAGTGTGGGGCAAAGCAACTGTTGAACTGAAAAGGTACAAAGACGCTGCCCCTCGAAGCCTGTGGTTCCTGTGTACATACTGGTTTTAAATATTTGCAAAGCTAGTTGGGTGTAAATAGTTATTTTATTATATTTATGTATTTTATAGTCATACATTGCTGGTTTAAACTGTACTGGTTTAAGAATGAAACATTTGCCTCATGCCTTATTTGGACATAATGTAGATGAGAAAGGATGATTTGAGTTGTCATTTTGTCAAAACATTTTTTGGTTAATACTTTGAATGCCAACTGCAGCTACAGGTGCTTCTGTTTGGGGGCAAAGATATCTACGATTTATACACGTGATCTGCAATTGCTTGAATAAAAATAAATGGACTGGTACAATAAATAATAACAAAACTAACCATTACTCCTCATCATTGAGTCAGAGTCCTTACCTACACCAATAAGTTTGACTGTTTTAATTTAGTTTTAATTAGGTGAACATTCTTTTAGTCTTCATTTTTTGGATCTTATGCTAAAATGTGTGACTTCTAAATTTGTTTGTGGTATTTTTTTTAGGATATAAAGGGCTATTTCACCTCTGTAAATTGTAAGCAATAATTAGCATGGAGCCATTCAACAACTTTCTGGAAAATACAGCACATGAGATGTTGAAAAGGTTACAGATGATTGTTTTCATAAGCCTTTCCTGGATTCTATAACAAGTCCAAATGTCTGCTGTGAAAAAGGCTAATTAAACCACAGTTTTTGTCAAACACTGTGAGGTTAGGGTTAGTTAGTTGTGAGCGTTCACCACTTGGTGGAGCAATTCGTCTGCTTTCTAACTTAAGATCATTCTCTAAATCTGCCTTAACTTTTAAACACTAAATTTAATCACTGTTGAAGTCGAAGAGTGTTTTTTTGCCAGTGTTGCTTTCTTCCAGGTTTGTCTGTCCTCTGCCCTCTCTTGTAGAGATTCCTCTGCTCCTGTAAACAGGGTGCTACTGGTCAGCCTTTTGCCTGAATAAGGCAGTGCTCCTCACTTTTTTGCCCTTGTTAACTCTTTGCTTTCCGCCCCTAAAGTCTTCAGCACCCTCCAAATGAAGAAAAAAATGTGATTTAAAAAAAAAAACCTGAGTTTGGCCGAGGGACTGCCCCATCATTTTTCACATGACATCATCCAAGATGCAGTGACAAGACGGCGAGGGATTGCTGAGGGTGACTTCTCCCTCCCCCTCCTCCTCCTCTTTCCCATCTTGGGTGGTTCATATAAGCAACCTCCACTCGCTGTCCAAACTTGCATCCTTATGAAGCGCTGCGGTGTTTAGGTGTGATCTTAAGGCTCAGCTCTCACAGCTCTCCAGACCAGTCTAAAGGAGGATCAGGGAGCGCTGAAAACTTCTAAGAAGCCCAAAGACTTACCAACTAGACACACAAGTTTGCATCTGACAACAGGTGAGTGACACGACAGCCCAACGCCCACCAATCATTATTCTCACTGTCTAGTGTTCACATTTTATTACTTTTTCCTCCTTATCTTGTGCCATCAGGCTCTACTGCCACCATTCCTGAGCGCATAGTTTTACGCTGTTATCAAATTCTTTAAGCAATGGTCTCGTTCCACTACATTACTATATTTGTACGTGTTTTTGCCCCTTCTGTGCTGCACTCAGTTGCTGAGATACACTGAGGGGTACTTCAGTAAAACAAACATTGCTTTGCACGGCTGCTCAGTTTATGTCTGTTAAGACTCACACAACTGTTAATATTTGAGTTACTGCGATGTGATTTTACGCTCTATTAATGACATTATTCACATTGTTTAGAGAAAAACAACCAAAAGTACCAGCTCTGTTTAAGTAATTCAAACATTTTCAATTCTATGTTTACTATAACTATTAAGTTGTTGCATTTGCGTGTGAGAAATGTCCCTTTCAAACATCTGTCTCTTTTGTGTTTAAGCGTCTTTACTTGCAGCCTTTGCAGTTCTTGTCCTGTGAAATATTCTCAAGAAAAGTAAATATGTCTTCGTGCACTCCTCAGACATGGAGTCAAAATCTGACTCTGGACCAGCTTCGTTGACCAGCGAAGAACTGGCTGCTATTGAGGATGAAGGGGTTCTCAACAAGATGGTGAGCCAGTCAGTTGTCACTTTCAAGTAGTGGGAAACCAGCTGAATGTCAACTGATCTCATCAAATATCATGCAAACCGTGTTGTTGTTATTGTTGTTGGGGATCAATAAAGTATTACTGATTCTGATTTTGATTCAATGAGAGCTGGGAGGGAATTTATTCCTTACAGATCTTCTTAAATGTTTAATTTAAAATCAACCTTTTGTATTTTTGCTGTGCTGAAGATATTCTGTTCTGTTCTCTTATTCTGTTGTAAGACACAAAGAATTTTACCACTTCTTATTTTTGACAATGAGGTGTCCTTTAAACAAGTAATAGACAATTAATAGGTAATTGTCTTCACTTTCACGAGCATGTATGCATGGGAAGAATAAGTTTTTCTGAAGTAAAATGATAAAATATGTCTTGTATGGACTAACTAAATACTGTGTGTAAACTTTAAATGTTCAGTCATTGTAAGATATCTCATTAAAAATGTCCAGAGTGGTGTGTCTCTTCTTAATCTTTCACCTCTTTAACCGGTGGTTCGTGTCTTTAGCTGGACAATGCAACAGATTTTGAAGAGAGGCGAATGTTACGCGCTGCATTGAGGGACTTGCTCAAGAAAAAGAGAGGTAAAATCTGATACTTGCTCCCATACAAGAGTTAGCCATAACGTACCATAATAACGTCTCCAATATTCCTCTGATGCTTTGCTTGCTTTCTAAATTGTCCACTGTCTCATCATCAGATAAACGGGAGCAGGAGCGAGGGTCGAGGCAGCAGGACTTGAAACAACAGGGCCTGAGCAAAGGAGGAACAACAGGCGGAGCTGTTAGTATAGGCAGAGCGTCCATGAACCAGCAGCCACCAACAAACAGTACGTTTATGAGGATACTCTCTGACACCCTGTCATATTTTTATGTTTTAATCAAATTATGTGAGCTTATTGATATTAATTTGATTATCTGCGTCTCGTTAGAGCCACCAGGCAAATCCTCTCCATCAGCAGGCAGGTAAGTCAATTATAGCCAAGTTTGCCTTTTTGGGTTTATCAACTGTACAAAGCTATGAACAAGTAAAGCATTCATTTAATCCCAGACACCACATCTTAGCCAAATATTTAGCTTCTTTTTGCAACTTAAAGTCCTCCTCCACTCAAAAATATCTTTATCTTCTTGTTCCTACAGTTGTATGTTTGAGCTCCACTGTGCAGAATATGTATGTGCAGAGTGAAAACAATGAAAACACACTGTGAATGGACTTTATCTTAAATAGCCACATCCACAAAATGTTATATCCTAATTTACAATACAATACAAATTTGGATTCATATGGATATTCATATGGTGCCACTACTATCAGCACCAGCACCCTGACTGCTGCACAGCAAAGTCTTCTTGCACATGTAGTAAGCCCCGTCTACACAGAAAAAAAAAAGGATCTCAAGCATCTGCCAAGTTGAAACCATAATTTCTGTACATGCAACATGAATCTTGTCTTTGTTTCTTCTCCTCAGCCAGGCGAGTCCCACTGTATCCTCGGCCCTGAAATGTCCTCCTGCTGCAGCACCCAATGCTAAAAATGTCAAACAGATGCTTCTGGACTGGTGTAGGGCCAAAACAGAGCCATATGAGGTAAATGTGTCCTGACTCTCTTTGGCTGTGAGTTATTGCCCTGTGGAGCTATATATATATATATATATATATATATATATATATATATGTCTGCCCCTTATGTCTCATTCAGTTGCCACTATTTCTTTTAAACTGCCCTCTGCTATGAAACAGGGGGTGAACATCCAGAACTTCTCCTCAAGTTGGAAAGACGGCATAGCCTTCTGCGCCTTGGTGCACCGGTTCTTCCCTGATGCCTTTGAGTACTCGATCCTCAACCCCAACAAGCCCAGGGAAAACTTCCAGCTGGCCTTCAGCACTGCAGAGTGAGTGCTCATTCCTTATATGAAGGAGCAGATGTATCTAGTCTAGAACAAGCTCCAGCAGTGCGCTGCAGATAAGAACAGAGTGACTTCATAGTTCTATGTCATTGTGTCTCTCCAGTCGTTTGTCAGTGACACTCACTCTCTTTCTGCAGGAGGCTGGCAGGCTGCCCCCCTCTGCTGGATGCTGATGACTTAGTCCGGATGAAAGAGCCCGACTGGAAGTGTGTGTACACGTACATCCAGGAGTTCTACCGCTCCCTGGTGGAGAAAGGCCTGGTCAAAACCAAAAAGCGAACATAGACAGTTTTCATGATTGGCTGTGATTTCTTTTTTTCTTTTTTTAATACACACACAAGCTTGAGCTGAGGTCAAAAAGATCATATTATGCACTTTTTTAACCAAATATTTACATTTTGTTTGGTATCTTGCCACAAAAGGGAGGATTAAGTAATTGATGTGACTGGCTGATGCATCATGTGAATGTAAATGCACAATGTGTTTTATTTGTATCGGCTTGTGTGTTACCAGGGATTTATGGGTGTCTGTGTGCTCTCAGCCGACAGCTGGCGCTTAGGATCAGTACATTCCTCTGAGATTACACATCTGCATTAATCCCGGTCAGAGCCACAGAGAATCTGGGAACAAATTTTATGACGATTCTGAATGTGTGAGTATTAAAGACACATCAAATAAATATCCATTTAATTATACATCCTGTAGTATTTCATTTGCCTGATAACATATTCAACAACTCTTTTTTATTTAAAACATTTCAGCCAGGTCTAAATCGTTTAGCCTTATTTTGTGTGAATGTGGGATGTATGCAGTTAAAGGGGCACTCCACTGATTTTACACATTAAGTTCAGTTTACTCGCCATGAGGAGATAAAGGTGGCAATGCTGGAGTGCTTCATCTGAGTGAACTTAATTTGTAACAGAAAGCCTTCCTTACAAACTTGGGGCGTTGAGTTTAAACAACATGGGTTGTTTACTGACAGGAAGAGCAAATTGTAAATTGTAGGACCCAGTGTTTTGTGAGCTTGGCATGTACTGGGGACTGTCTTGACCTCTGCTATCATGACTTCATGGAGATACAATATTAAGTAGCTGGGATACTCCTTTAATTCTGACTACTCCTTAAATAATTATAAATGCATTGCAATGGCATCTTGACACACTGCAGTTTACATTTACTCCCAGAGCTAAGGCCACTATAAAAATTATTATTATTAATAATAATAATAATAATAATAATAATAATAATAAAATGTTACCTTTATGAAGATGTATTGTGGGTTTTTAGTTGCACAAGGTTTAGTCTCAGTGTCACTGCAATAAATAGTCATTTTGAGGCTCTATTACGAATCAAGACAATATTAGGAAGACCTTACCTTATTAATGAAACACCACAAACATAGGGCCTCTAAACTGCTATATTGCATCAACACATTTGGGACATAGTCTCTGCAGAAACTCCATAAGCAAGAAGCACAAAATAGTTTTAATTGCTTTAATGATTTCAGTATGTCTTTGCAGCGACCTGCACAGATATCACAGAAGGGACCACATATGGAGCTTTGCCAGAACTGAAATGTAATTATTGGCGCGCTGATCAATTCAGTGACAATCAGTGACGCACTAATGCCAGATTAATGCGTCAGTACTGGTAGGACAGGTGCTCAATTCTTTCTGGTCGGCTGCACTTTGGTAGCAGCTGATTTTTTGTTTTGCCTTTCCAGCTTTCCCACCCACCCCCCAGGTGCCCATATGTTTTTTACCCAGAGTGCACTCAGTAAGAGAGAGAGAGAGAGAGAGAGAGAGAGAGAGAGAGAGAGAGGCGCACTGAGAGGCGCGTGATGGGTCGGTGTACGGCCGGTGTGCAGGAGGTCCAAACGGGATGCTGAACGAAAAAAGTGCACAGCTGCTCCGGCCAACTGCGCTGCGCTTTAGACAGTGATAAGTAGGATGAGGAATAATAATGAAGCTGTTGTATTATAGCACCAACATCAACATGCAAGAGTCCGGACACATCAAGCGTGACCGCCTCCTGTCCTGACAGCCCTGCGGCGCCGTCTGCACCGTGTCCGCGGTACCGACGGGTCCCGTCCTGCTGGCTGGCTGTGCTGGCTGTCTGGGTCGGTCTGTCTAAGGACCAAACATCGGTCGTGATCGCCTGTATGTGACAGCCCTGTCGCGTTGATTGACGTGCGAGAACCAAAACGGAGACCGATGCGCTTTCCCTCTGTGGATTTGTGCGATCACCTTTACGGTTCACCTTGGAAATAAAAAAAAAATCGCATGAAAGGTAAGACCGGTGTGGGTCTGTGAGCAGCCACTGTAGCTCCGTGTTTGTGTTGATGTTTATTTATGTGAAATTGCACTGCTTTGTGCTTTTGGGGTGTTTTCACGAGTCCAGGCTTTGTGGATAATGGAGCTGTCACTCAGACTTGCAGGCTCATGCACTATGAAACATGTAAAAGGGCCCATTTGTTTTATGGTATTTAAGCTTTTGAAAGTTTTTTACTTTTAAAGTGAATTGAATACAGACCTGTCTGATCACCATTGTTCAGAGCTTGCAGGTTACTACCGTGGTCACATGAAAGAGGTCCTAATTTCCATATGATGAATGATTAAATAGAGGTGTATAATTTCTGTGTGAGAGGGCACATAAACAAAATGGTGGGAGGCCCTTGTCCTCCTATCACATCCTCCTCCTTGTGACCTACAGTATCTGTTGACATTGTCTGATGTGCTCCATTATCTGCAGCTGTGCTCCAGCTCGTGTCCCCTCTGACTGACCTGAGTTCAGTTTCTTAAGCAAGAGAGGGAGATCAAATTGTGTTTGAACAGTGAGCAATAAAAGCGCTTCACTCTGTGATACTATCCCATAATGATCACCAACAGTTTTGTCTTTTGCTTTGTAAAAAGGGTCAGGGGATAATTAACGTTGCTCGGCAACAAGGATGTAATCCAGGACAGAGGTCCAAAGTTAGTCCCTCAGCCCACTGGTGGAAAATAACGAAGTATTAACTCAAGTACTGTACTTATGTGCAATCTTGAGGCAATTGTGCTTTACACGCTTCCATTAGGCTGTACGTTTTACTTCTACTTCACCACACTGGAGGCAAATATTGTATGTTTTACTCCACTACATTTATCTGACAGCTTTAACTACTGGTTACTTTGTAGATTCAAATTACTAATACAAAATATAATTAATGACTTATGCTATAATATTATAGAATATATATAACGTGATTTAAATTAGACCCACCTTTCAGGTGCCATCATATGAATGCATCCTTAGTTATAATCCAATGATATAATATATATTTTATTTTGAAACGGGCCATTCTGCATAATAAGTCCTTTTATACTTTTGGTACTTTGAGTATTATTTTTGATACCAACACTTATGTACTTTGACTTACTTCATACTAAATATTTATTGTAGTAATGCAATATTTCAGCACTGTGGTATTTTATCTAAGTACTTCTTCATCCACTGCCTCAGCCGAATTGCCTTCTCATGATAACGTCATCAGTGATGCCTGGGGAGCACGATGTAGACAGGTGCTCAGTATAATGTGATGCATTCTCACAGCTCCCTCTCAATGCAGGCAAATAATTAGCTGTTTCTCAAGCTGTTTACCCAAAGACTCACTGACTGATGTTCATGTTCTGTGACCTTAGTGACGGCAGCTCTAAGACATGCTGAAGGACAAAGATGGCAAAACTCACCTGTGTTATTTTTATGCTTTTTATGCAAGCCACACTATCTTGTTTATTTTTTTTATCTCAGATTGTTGTGTTATAATTATCCACACACTGCCTGTTGCAGGTTAATGGATCGCATGCAGCAGAAACAAATCTGCACTGAGCCTTGTGTGCCCAAAGTGCAACCTGGTCCCTGTGCATTCATCAGAGCTGGTCAGGGTTTACCGCCGCAGCTCACAGTCCAGGAACCTCCTTTCATCAGCCCATCAGAGGTGCTCAAGAAACAGTCTGGATTGAGCCCCATGCAGGCAGCAGTTGCACCTGTGAAACTGACAGACCAAACGCAGTCAGGGCAGCCAAAGTCTGGGTCTGCTCCAGCAACACTGGCAAGCATAAGCCGGCCAAGGCCGACTGTTCTTGGAACTAAACCTGCTCCAAAGACCACCAGAATCTCAGTGAACCCCTCCAAGGAAATACATTTGATTCCAGTTTGCATCCCAGGACCTCAGAGTGCCAGCGTCCTGCCGCATTCTCCAACAGAGTCCTCCCTCTCCCTTCACAGCCCACAGAGTCCCCACAGCCCTCAGTCTTACACCAGCCAGCCTTACCTGAGCCCCAATCTTAGCCTCAGTCCCAAACCCAGCCTCAGTCCTCAGCCACAGAGGACCCCCTCACCTGGGAGCTCAACACAGAGCCAAGGGCAGTCCGAGAAGCCAGGGGAGAACAATGACTTCAGGTGAGACAAATAATCACGTCTTCATTAAAGATATATGTATTACTCAGCCTGTGAGATAGTATAAAAGGATTCTGTTCTCAACACTGTGACTGTTGTTCCCGGTTACGGCTAAATACAGCTGCAGGAGCAGCGGCTGTAAGAAAGCTGATGTGTGCCAGACCATGTCACATGAATCAAAGCTGCAAATTTCACTAAGAGCTTTGTGAACCCGACAGAGTGACACAGCCACATTTAGCTGGCACACTTCCCAGAGACATACTTTTGTTGTGTTCTTCCTCGCTCATGAGCAACGGCTGCCTGTAAAAATCTCTGTTTAAACTTTTGGAGCTGTGTTTATATGAAGAAGGAAACATACACCTAAAAGGCTTCACACAGCATCCTCTGCCAGTCCTACTGTCACATTCAAACACACATTTATCATCACATAGATCATATTCTCATAGACTGGTAGATTTGCATGTTTAACCTACAAAATCACATACTTACATTGTGTTTTTCCCTCATTTTTATTTATTTTATGTTATTGCCAGGCTTATGTTATTGTTACCAGGTAATAGCTCTGTAATCAGGTACTGTTTTACTGTTTGTTTGCTGCTGAAAAGCATTTCAGTAATTAGCTATGTCGTGTGGATGAGATTATGAAAGCAAACAATCAGCAAATGAGAACATTTTTAAAAGATACATTTGGTAATTTCTGACATTAAGATGTTGCTTTTCAACAGCCAACACTTAGGTCTTAAATATCAACGTGTCCTTTAATGCACTGACGGGAAGAGTTTTCAAAACAGTCAGAAATAACACGATGATAGATCCTATTCAAAGCGACCATTTTGACATGAAATAGTAGGGTAACCACAGGTGTTACCAATGACACTAATTAATTAATTTTGTTCCAGCCACATCGACCAGAGTCAGGAGACGGCTGTTGTTCATGTTGGCTCACTGGAAAGACTCTGCTGGATGGAATGGAAAAGAGGCTTAATTAGTGTCATTGGTAACACCTGCTATGAAAAAGGTCTATCTTAGAACACTGACAAAAACAAATAAAAGTGACTATAGTGAGTATAGAGGACTACAGTTTTATAACATCTACAATTACTGTACGTTGATTTTCATGTTACAGACTACTGAAATGAATGGAAACAATCTTAAATCTTATGGTATGCTTTTGAGTGAAGTGTGGCCGTAATGTAAATCAATTATTTGTAGTTATTGTGCCACCAATGTGGTCCTTTAAGTAAATTGTTAACCCTGCAAA